ACAGTCTTTTCTCGCATCCTCATCATTGTCAAAGTATAGGGTTTTGGCTCCACAATGTTTGGGGATCAAGAGCTGCCTCTTTGTTAGTCTACTAGTTCATTTGTTCATTCATTTGTGTGAACAGCCACGTGTTGGGTGCTTGGTATACGTCAGGCAAAAAAAAAAAAAAGTAGATGCTGAAGATTCAAGAGGCTCTAAGAAATGTGTAGACATTTCTTGTCAATATCTTGTGCAAAGACAGTCTGCAAGATAGCTCTCCAAAAGCAACTTCCATTATCTCTGTTTAGCTGCATTTTTATAATTCTGAAAAACAGAAGAGCTAGGCTTGCTGTCAGTAGAAGCAGCTGTAGCTTCTTCAACAATTACAATCATGTCCATTGTAGATGATTCTGAGAGAGAAGGAGCCTCCCTGTTAAACCAAGTGTCGTTTTTCCCACACACACTGGTGTGCAGGTCTTTGGAGTGCTGAGTTTTGATGGATAACTTCTTACCAAGGTGCCATCTTGCTTGCCACCAAGATGCTTGTTAACAGGAATTTACTTTTCCTTAGCTCTGCAAACCCTCTCGAGGGTTACAGGGTTACAATACCATCGGTTGTAACTGAATTGTCCTATTAATCAAAGAAACAAAAACAATGACCTACTGTATGAGATCTGGCTATGAAAGAACCACTCCGATCCAAATTCTTTCTGAAGCTCTCTGAAACAGCGACAGTTTGTCCCTGAGTGGTTTTTATGTCAAGCAAAGAATGGCAGTGATCCATATTCTGTGACAATTCAACAGCCATTCACAGCTTAAGGGATGCTCTCAGATGTGTCTATCCCTTTGCTGCTGACAAACCTCTCCTTCCTCATAGAAGGCTCGTTGGAAACAACATTCAGTTATGTAGACAGGTTGGCTATAGTTTCCACTTCACAGATGAGAACACAGAGGCGACGCGAGGAGTCCGATGATTGGTCCAAAGCCACTCAGCTGCCAAGTAAGGAAGTTCAGCTGGAAACACAGGCCTCTGATTCCCTTTTTCT